ATGTTAAGTTAGGGTATTCTGCCACCAAGTTCTCACACTTAATTGCAGAATTATTAATAAATCTAATCTAATCTAATATCATGCATTTCTCTACTTTATTAGAGATCTTCGATCGCATCGTCGCGTGGTGCGTTACTTTTCTACAAAGCTCACAAAAAATAGCACGAGTAGCTTTTCATGAAACATAGAGCCAAAAAATGACATCGTAAGCGTCATTTGTAAAATGTACTAAAGGCAAAGACCCTTTTCATTGTACTTTTAAAATTAATATTTTAATGTTATATTAAAATGTTTAATAATTAAAAATCATTAATATTTAATGACAACGCGCGTTTGCAACAACGAATGCATGCCCGCAAAATCATATTAGGTAAACCAGAGAGCCTTGCATCAGTATCGCTCTCTGTAAATGGACAGAACTAAATGAGGCGAAGGTCAGATGCTAATGCGAAACGGAAGAGGATTATTTCAATGATTTCAGACTTTCAAACCGATCGTGGTTTCCCTGGTATCAATTCAGTTTTCATAAAAGTTATCTGTAAATTGTATTACAAACCCGCATTTATAAATTTTATAAAATTTGATGATACATATTCCCGATATTTGTTTGTGAGAACGGTTCATGTAGATTTTCTACATCTTTGAAAATTGTTTTAAACAGTGAGGATTGAAAGACGTGAAACATTATTTCTAAATGGGGGACATTTCACAGAAGGGTACATATTTTTATATAAAACATTTGAGTCGCTACGAAACCCTTTTTCTCTATTTTGGGGGGGATGCGGTAGAATTTGAAATACTTTTTAAACATTTTGCATTTTATATCTATATTTAGTGATGAATTTAGTAGCATTTATTAAGTCATTCGCTACATTGAGTATTACCTTTGTCCCTAATTAATATATTAATATAAATTATTAAATAATGAAATTTTATTCCATATTTTAAAAGAAACAATTTCTAACAGCACCCATGATCTATGTCTTCCTCCAAATTTCTCATGGGTTAGGGAGTATAATCTCTGAAAACCGACCTCTGAGAAGGACATAAATGCAAGAATAGAATTCCTCTTTCCACAACCTAGTCTTGGGAAAATTCCCCTCGCTTGCTCAAATGTTACTAATTTACTACAGGTTTTGAATAGTTTTGTTTGTGACATATTGTAAATCCGATAGAAATGTAGTTTCTGATCGCATAACATGTAAACAAAAAAGATTTTGAGGAGAATTGTTATGAGGAAAACCTAGTGCAGAATGGAGATTCCTGTGCAGATTCGTTCGGCTCGGTCCAACGCGCTTCTTTGTAATGTCGTGCTAAATTTAACCGGCAGCCGAGGCCTAGGGCGCTGTCGCCAACACGAATTTTGCACCCACGCGCGCTCTGGGGGTTCCCGACGTTTGCGTTGGCGCAGTTGCCGTCCTTAGGGAGTTCTTGCGCCCTCGAACGTTGAAAGCAATCGACAGAACTATCGATCTTCTGCGCATGCGCAGTTCACGTTTCGCATCACCAGAGAGATTTGTGCAACCTTAAAGATCTGTGTATGGGCAGTTTCGCATCATTATAATGCATCTGCGCCTGCGCAGAAGATAGAGATATCAGTATATCTGCCCTATAAGGCGAGCAAAATCTTTCTCTTGTTTGTTGATTAATGTGCCATTGATTCCGGACGCGTCAACAGCTAACGTCATTAGTCCCGTAAATGTAGTGCATGCTTCATCGCGGGCGGTGGAGGTGATCTTCTCCCGCTGGGTGTTGCTGATCATTACCTCCTCGAGGTTGATATTTTGAATTTGTTTTTTTCTAAGCGACTGAAGTGACACACCCAGTCATTTCACTTCAGGTTCCGTTCCACTTTCGGCTAACCTAGTGCCAAAAGCAATGTCATAACTAAGTAATATTTGTATCATCAATACAAACTAAATGTTTGTGTTTTGTTGTGTGTTAATATTACGCAAACTGTCAACGTTTATTTTCATAATAAATTATGTTTTATATTATTTCAAAAATATATTCCAACATGTGGAAAACCCGTGAAAATTCCTGTTTGAGAACATTTATCACTCGATTCTTGATTCTTTGTTATTGCAATAGAACATCAAAATTTACAAATATTGTAATCTGTAAGTATTAAATTTTTCACAAGCAACAAAAATAAATGGTAAACATTCACTTAATTACAAAAGATTCTTGTCAGGGGTTTACATTTCCAAAAATCTATATTTGTCCACAACTTAAAATTATCCTAGCAAGCGAAATACCACTTCCTTTCTCCATAAACGCAGGAAACTTTACAAATACTTCTAAATGCAATAGTCCGCAATCTTGTTCTCAGTTCTCAGTCACGTAGAAACTGTGACGAAGTCGCATAGTATGCGCCCATCGCCATTCCCCCAATGAATCACGCTCTACAACGTCAGTTCCTGAATGTACATATGTTCCAAGACGTAAATGACCCCGGGTATGAAAATACAAAATCAAAGATTCTATGCCAAAAGTTTCTAAATTACCAACTAATGTCGGGGTAGTTAAATTCTAAAACAAACAACAAAAAAAGTCGTATTACAAACTTAACCAAAACGTTATGTCAAAGTAAGCCGAAGTTCTTTCTCTTTTTCTCTCTCTTACTCTCTTTCTTTCTTTCTTTCATATTTTCCCTTTCTTATTGTATTCAGTATTTATAATGAACAAAGGTGTGTCTAGTGGTTTTGCTGTAGGAGGACGCCGTGTCCGAGGCACAGGTGCCAAAGTTTCAACCGCCATTCTGCGACCTTCCTCAGGGGGAAATGCGATTAAATGCGATGCGAAATGCGATCAAAATATTAATATATACAGACAATAATACATTAATAAAATTAAACCATGTTACTTTAAGAAAATTTTAAAAGCACGCGCTCATTCCAATGAACTCAGGAACATGAAGATTTAAATGGGCCGCGGCGTGGCGCTTCGCGTCAGGGTACTGTCAAATTAAATTTTTTTGATCACAAATTTAATATTGTATTTTACTAAACCAGCTTTAAAACGTCTACGATTAAAAACATCGATGGTTTTTGGTCGATGTATTAATAGCATAGATGCTTTAATTTTGATCATCGCTGTTTGGCTACATCAATGTCTTTTTAACGATGTGGCATCTCTACTTAGGAGTATGGAATTTAAAAGAGCGTGACGCGGTGCGGCGCGTTAGGACACTGTCAAATTAAATTTTGTTGATCATGATCACAAATTTAATGTTATAGTGTACTAAACTAGCTTTAAAACACCTTTACATAACAATATGGAGGTTTTTTTGGTCGATGTATTTTTAACATCGATGTTTTAATTTTGATCATCGATGTTTTGCGACATAGTTGTTGTTATCGATATCGCATCCCTACCTAGGAGCGTGGAATTTTAACGGCGCCGCGCAGCGCGTCAGGTTTGCTGTCGGCGGCAGCCGCGACCGCGAAGGTGCAGGCGGCTGCGGCTGCGCGAACTGTTGTGACGTCACGAGTGAGCGGGCTGGGCGCGCAGCCTGTTGCCGCCTCCAAATATAGCGAATGACGCGATCGCTTGCGTTGCTTTTGGTGATGCCGGCTCTGGAGGCAAGCCAGGCGTACGGGACCTCCTCCACCCTCTTCTGTTATATTTTCCGTGCTCTCCTGCTCCATCTTGTCTTTCTGTGACAGCCACTTGGTCGCGTACTTGAAGATGAGAGATGTGTTTGCGTGGCATGGTTCTTTTGCCGTTGTTGAATTTCGACATGCCCTCTGAAAAAAGAAGTGATAAGAAGAAAAAAGAGAAGGGGCAAACGCTGAGATTAGAGGAACAACTCCGAAAATAATTTCTCAATGCTAATGTGTATGAAGTATTGTTCATTGAAACTGACATTACGATATTAATAATTTGGGGGAAAGATCCCCACTCCACCTAGAATTCTTTTGAGAAATCGCGCTCTCTTCTGTCTTCGTACATCTCTAATTCTAGAACTGTATGTATTGCTCTGAATAAGGCAAGTTGGAGAACCTTCAAAAGAACAATTCAGCGTTCATTCAATGTCCATGTACGCTTCCAGAAAAGGACAACTATTGGATACGGCTCGAGCCTTATTTGCAGTGAATCGACGTTCGGTCGCTTACAAAAAGACTAATCGTTGCCGAAGTGAAGTCTCGTGTCGGTGTGATGGAATTCCTATTCGGTCCTTTCCGATGCGAATCATGTACTCGCTTTTCCCCATATTCCTGAGGAAACAGAAAAATATAATTCTTCACAAAAGAGCTTCTTAAACTTCACTTAAACCTGGTTCAACAATATTCAGCAAATAAACAAACTCGAATTTCTAAATGTACTCTGAGTAACAACTAATGGTTCTATGTTTGTTGCAGGTGAACTCGAAACTACATCAAGATGCCTATTCTAGATTCGTGCTGCGGCTGCGGGTCGCTCAAGACAGGCACCATTATCACTGGAGTTCTAGGAGTGGTACGTAAAGACATATCTCTTACAACCGGAACCCAGAAGACTGTGTCCTGCACTCTCTCCTCCCCCTATCTCCCTCTTTCTTCTCTTTTCCCCTCTTTCTATCTTTTCCCCTCTTTCTATCTTTTCCCCTCTTTCTATCTTTTCCCGCTCTTTCTATCTTTCCGCCTCTTCTATCTTTTCCCTCTTTCTATCTTTTCCCCTCTTTCGTATCTTTTCTGCTCTTTTATCTTTTCCCTCTTTCTATCTTTTCCCTGCTTTTCTATCTTTTCCGTTTTCTCTCCCCTCTTTCTATTTCTCTTTATCTTTTCCCCTCTTTTCTATCTTTCCCCTCTTTCTATCTTCCCTTTATTTTCCCAGTCTTTCTTCTTTTCTTTCTACTTTCCTTATCTTTCCCTCCTTTTCGCCTCTTTCTATCTTTTCGCCCTGCTTCTCTCTCTCTCTCTTTCCCCTCCTCTCTCTTTGCCTCCCTCTCTTCATCTTTTCCCCTCTCTCTCTCTCTTTTTCCCCTCTCTCTCTCCTCTTGCCTCTCCCTCTCTCTCTTCTCCCCTCTCCTCTTTTTCCCCCTCTCTCTCTCTTTTCTCCTCTCGTCTCTCTCGTTTCCCCTCTCTCTCTCGTCTTTATTCCTCCTCTCCTCTCTTCTTTTTTCCCCTGCTCTGCTCTCTCTTTTCCCCTCTCTCTCTCTCTTCTTCTCTCTTCTCTCTCTCTCTCTTCTCCCTCTCTTCTGCTCTTTTCCCCCCCCATTCTCCTTTCTCTCTCTTTTCCTCCCTCTCTCTCTCTCTTTTTCCCCTCTCTCCTCTCTCGTTTTCCCCCTCTCTTATCCTTTTCCCTCGTCTCTCTCTCTTTTCTCCTCTCTGCTTCTCTCTTTTCCCTCTCTCTTTCCTCGTCCTCTCTTTTCCTCTTCTCTGTCTCTCTTTTCCCTCTCTCTGGTCTCCTCGTTTTCCCCTCTCTGCTCTCTTTTCCGCCGGCTCTCTCTCCCTCCTCTCTTTTCCCCCTTCTCTCTCTTCTTATTCCCCTCTCTCTCTCTCATTTTCCCCTCTCTTCCTCTCTTTTTCCCCTCTCTCTCTCTTTTCCCCTCTCTCTCTCTTTTCCCGCTCTCTCTCTCTTTTTCCCCTCTCTGCTCTCTTTCCCCCGTCTTCTCTCATCTTTCCCCCTCTCTCTCTTTTCCCTCTCTCTCTCTTTCCCCCTCTCGTCTCTCTTTCGCCCCTCTCTCTCTCTTCCCACTCTCTCTCCTCTTTCCCTCTCTCTCTCTTTCCCCCCCTCTCCTCTCTTTCCCCTCCTTTCTCTCTCTCTTTTTCCTTCTCTCTTTTCCCCCTCCTCTCTCTTTCCCCCCCTTCCTCTTCTCTTTCCCCTCCTCTCTTCCCCTCTCTCTTTTCCCCTCTCTCTCTTTCCCCCTCTCTCTCTTTCCCCCTCTCTCTCTTTCCCCCTCTCTCTCTTTCCCCCTCTCTCTCTTTCCCCCTCTCCTCCTTTCCCCTCTCTCTCTTTCCCCCTCTCGTCTCTTTCCCCTCTCTTTCTTCCCCCTCTCTCTCCTCTCCCTCTCTCTCTCTCCTTTCCCCCCTCTCTCTCTTTCCCCCTCTCTCTCTTCCCTCCCTCTCTTCTTCCCCCCTCTCTCTCTCTCCCCCTTTCTCTCTCCCCTCTCTCTTCTTCCCCCTCTCTCTCTTTCCCCCTCTCTCTCTCTTTCCCCCTCTCTTCTCTCCCTTCCCCTCTCTCTCTTCTCTTCCCTCTCTCTCTCTCTCTCTTTCTCCCCTCTCTCTCTCTCTCTTCCCCCTTCTCTTCTCTCTTTTCCCCCTCTCTCTCTCTCTTTTCCCCCCTCTCTCTCTCTTTCCGCCTCTCTCCTCCCTCTCTCTCTCTCCCTCTCTCTCTCTTTCCCTCTCCTTTCCCCTCTCTCTCTCTCTTTCCCCTCTCTCTCTCTCTTTCCCCGCTCTCTCCATCTTTCCCCCCTCTTTCTCTCTCTCTTTCTTCCTTCTCTTTCCGCCTCTCTCTCTTTTCCCCCCTCTCTCTTTCCCCCCGCTCTCTTCTTTCCCCTCTCTCTCTTTCCCCCTCTCTCTCTTCCCCTCTTCTCTCTTTCGCCCCTCTCTCTCTTTCGCCCCTCTCTCTCTTTCCCCCCCTCTCTCTCTTTCCCCCTCTCTCTCTTCCCCCCTCTCTCTCTTTCCCCCTCTCTCTCTCTCTCTTTCCCCCCTCTCTCTCTTCTCTTTTCCCCTCTCGTCTCTTTCCCCCTCCTCTCTTCTTTCCCCCTCTCTATCTCTTCCCCTCTTCTCTCTTTCCCCCCTCTCTCCTCTTCCCCCTCTACGTCTCTTTCCCTCTCTCTCTCTTTCCCCCTTCTCTCTCTCTCTCTTTCCCCTCTCTCTCTCTTTTCCCCTCTCTCTCTCTTTTCCCCCTCTCTCTCTCTCTTTTTTCCCCCCTCTCTCTCTTTTCCCCTCTCTCTCTCTTTTCGCCCTCTTTCTATCTTTTCCCCTCTTTCTATCTTTTCCCCTCTCTCTCTCTATCTTTTCCCCTCTCTGCTCTCTCTCTATCTTTCCCCTCTCTCTGCTCTCTCTCTTTTCCCCTCTCTTCATCTCGTTTTCCCCTCTCTCTCTCTTTTCGCCTCTCTCTGTCTTCTCTTTTTTCCCCTCTGCTCTCTCTCTTTTCCCTCTCACCTTCTCTTTTCCCCTTCTCTCTGTCTCTCTTTTCCCTCTCTCTCTTCTTTTCCCCTTCTCTTCTCTCTTTTCGCCTCTCTCTCTCTTTCCCCTCTCTCTCTCTCTTTTCCCCCTCTCTCTCTCTCTTATTCCGCCTCTTCTCCTCTTTTCCCCTTCTCATCTTTCCCCTCTCTCTCTCTTTCCGCCCTCTCTCTATCTTTCCCCTCTCTCTTTTCCGCCCTCTCATCTCTTTTCCCCCTTCTCTCTCTCTTTCCCCTCTTCTCTCTCCTCTTTCCCCCCTCTCTCTCTTTCCCGTCTTTCTCTCTCTCTTTCTTCCTCTCTCATTTCCCCTCGTCTCCTCTTTCCCCCCTCTCTTCTCTTTCCCCCTGCTCTCTCTTTCCCCCTCTCCTCTTTTCCCCCCTCTCTGCTCTTCCCCTCTCTCCTCTTTTTCCCCTCTCTCTCTTTCCCCTCTTCTCTCTTTTCCCCTCTTCTCTCTTTCCCCCTCTCATCTCTTTCCCCGCTCTCTCTCTTTCCGCCCTCTCTCTCTTTCCCCTCTCTCTCCTTCACCCCTCTCTCTCTTTCCCTCTCTCTCTTTTCCCTCTCTCTCTTCCCCCTCTCTCTCTTTCCCCCCCTCTCTCTCTCTCTGCTCTTTCCCCCTCTCTCTCTTTCCCCTCTCTCTCTCTCTCTTCCCCGCCTCTCTGCTGCTTCTTTCCCCCTCTCTCTCTTTCCCCCTCTCTCTCTCTTTGCCCCCTCTTCTCTCTTTCCCCTGCTCTCGTCTCTTTCCCCTCTCTCTCTTTCCCCCTCTCTCTCTCTCTCGTCTTTCCCCTCTCTCGTCTTCTCTCTCCCCTCTCTCTCTCTCTTTTCCCTCTCTCTCTCCTTTCCCCCTCTCTCTCTCTCTTCCCCCCGCCTCTCTCTTCTCTCCTCTTCTCTCTCTCTCCCTCCGCGCCATCCATTTGCCCTGTCGTCCTCGGCCTCTCCCCGTTTCACACAGCATTGCCAAGCAACAAAGAAGTGGTGAATTGGGAATTGCATGAAACTCTAAAAAATAATATTGAATGCACTTATCGTTTACCTGTAAAAATATGTAGACCAATTTACATGAATATCCGTTTCCTATCATCATCATCATCATCATCTATTTTTTCCTGCTTTCCCCTATTGAAAGATTAATAAATAAATCATCGAAGAGTACTTAAACTCATTAACGACGGGCGAATCCTCATGGTCGATAATACGTCACCCGAAAATACATATTTAGAATTTTTTATTATATGGGGAAAGGAAATAATATCTTAGCCACAGACATAGGTTGAAAAAATTACAGTGACTTTTGTAAAGAACAAAAGTGATATTTATATATATTAGGAACAGATGTAATGAAGATAGGCCTATTAAAGAAACTAGGATTTTTGAAAACTTTTAATTCTTTTTGCCCATGATTAGTCCTTATTAATTGTTATCTTCTTGTGTGTTACAGGTCATTGGAATCGTGACACTGATTCTTGTCTTAGTCACAGACATGAAATTCCAAACTATCATCATTGACACGTTACCTGAAACCGTTGGTAGGTGATGGCGGGATCAATATGCTACATTTAATGATAAAATAATGACTAAAACTTATTGACCTTTTTCACACATGCTTTTATTTTTTCAGTCAAAATCATATTCGCAATTAACTTGGTTATGACGGTATTAATATCACTTCTTCTGATCGTTGGAGCGATTAAGGTAAGTTCTTGTTCAATTACTATTACTACCATTAAATCTTAAATAAATTCCCATTCTTAAATTTTAAATAAATAAATTATAAAGAAAAGTGATCCGCAATAACCTTCTTTTACATTATTCACGAATTAATAGAAAAGAGATTGCCTCGAGTGATACACATTCGCATGAAACAATATATTACGCCAGAAAAGGACTGCACTAGCTTAGCGTGGTACCTATTTCATATTGCGAGTACTTTCATATTGAAATCATTTGTGCTATGTAAGTTCATAATGAAAATAAAACACACAGGCATAAAAAAAAGTCAGACTCAAGACTTAAACATGATTGTTTATGTATATTGATGCGCTGAATCTGAATCTGAATCTGAATCTGAAGCCAGAATGGCGCCACCACTCTCCAGTTTGTTTATTGCGAAAAATTACCGATATATTTTTTTGTATTCGGGGGCTGTTGACTTGTCACAAGTTTCTCTCAGACCTAAAGATTTGACACAAGTTTCTCTATGTGTATTGCCGCGCTGAATACCAATTTGAAGTCATAAATGTTACATTTACAATTTCACTGTGTTTTTTCGCGATTTAAAAAATGCTAGAAGGTGGTAGCGCAATTCTGGCTTCGAATACGGATTCAGCTCTTCCACAAATATAGAGAAACGTGTCAAGTCGTTGGGTCTGACAACAATTTTCTTGTGTGACCTTTGATAATAAAAACCCAATATAATTGCCTGACACGGCTATCTTCGTCCAAAGTTACATGAAAAAGTATTGATATAAGATTTTTTAAATCTAATTTTAATTGTCTTATCATACTTATATTGTGACTTAAAGAATCACATTATGCCGGAAAGACAGTAGGACAGTAATTCACAGCGTTTGACTGCCGTAGGTTTTTTGAAAATCTCCAAAACCATTTCTTCGAGAGGGTGTTCTAGAATCTAGGTGGATTCCAATAAAAATAGTGCCTGACTATTTTTGTGGATGGGAGGAGTTAAATAAGTTATTGATCACCTCTGTAGGTGCTTTGAAACTCCCCAAACGCGTTTTATTTGTCAAATATCACATAAAAACCGCTTTTTGTTTTTATTTTTTGACAATTTTCTAGAATGCTCTCGAAGGAACCAAGAAAAGGTCGTCAGTTCCCCACCAGTAAACCCAAACGCGTAAGGAACCCCAGTTGCCTCGATTGCTGAACCAGAAGTAGTCACACTAAGTGGTGAACAGACGCGGGTTACTCGCTTATATAATAATATAGTTTCCTTATATTATAAAATTCTGCATTAAAAATTGGATGACCTTCGTCAGTGGATTCAGTTACGATCTATGTATTTTTAACAGAATAAAATGACTATTACTCATACTTTTGGGGTCTTTCCTAAGAAATAATTGTTTGATCAGCAACATAATGCAATATCAGACACTGATTTCATTCTTCATTAATGATGTCATAAATACACTTAATTTACAATTTCATTTGAATGAGAAAATTCCAATTCGAATCCGTACGTAATCCGTACGTAATACGTACGTAATACGTACGTAATACGTACGTAATCCGTACGTAATACGTACGTAATACGTACGTAATACGTACGTAATCCGTACGTAATCCGTACGTAATTCGTACGTAATTGACTAACCAGCGTCTGTTAGATCGTCCATCTGTCCGTCACTTACGATTAGGCCCCTCCCGGTCCTTCAATGGAGACAAATGAGATCTGTTTCACACGATAAGTAACGCGCGTCGTAGATTAATCCTGTACTTTATGCGGAACAGCCGCAGCGCTCATGTGCCGTTTCGCATAAGATAGTGTTATTCAACGACGTGTGTCAACGTAACGGGGGCCATGAGGTTTCATTCGACGCGTCTATCTCTCCTGGTGGAAAACATCATTTTTTGCAGATTCATGTAAACATTTCTAAGAATATTTTTCTACATAATGTGTCTTTTTGCTTTTTAAGAAATTAAAACTGGTTTGCGGGTGACTTACGGCACCTACAGGTGATCAGATTCCTTTTGACAAGACAAATCGATTGACACAATTCTTAGTTGGTACCCTCTAGGATATTCGGGAAGAATTCTAGACAAAATACGTGTGACTGAGTTCCAATCACTTGCAAATATTTTGGTAAAACATTGTGAAATACTGTTCTCTCTTTTGTGTATTTGCATTAATAATTCATTCAAACAATTATTGTTACATTATGCTTCATCAGATTGACTATAATTAAATCTAATTTTGTAATGAAAGAAAATTGGAAGTATTTTAATCTTTAGTTTTTCATGTAACTTCTGTGCCCTAAAATGAACGAGTAATTGTAATATGTTTAAAAGTTATTTTATTTACGAACTCGCAAAGCACAAATAAAACATTTTAACATGAAAATACATGCTAACGTAATCCTAGTCCTAATGTAATATATTGTGAGCATTAAAATTATTCGATTTTCCTTTTTTTAGCGTAACAAGTTCATGATGCTGCCATGGGTGGCGCTGGCGATACTGCTAGCAGTCGGTCTTGTCATTTCCATCATCTACACAGCTGTTGTTTGCTTCATGGACAGCGAAAGGCCAAATCACGTCCTAAGAGGCTCACTCTGGCTTGCTCTCGGCTTACCTGCCGTAGGTATGTACCACAAACTTTTCGCTTTCATTTATTTATTCGGGTGGTAAATATGCCACATCCTTTGATTGAAGAACAAATTAGGTTCAACTCCCATTCAATCAGAATATTGAATCAACATTTTTCTTAAACGTAAACTACATTAACATGGAGTGTAGTAGAATTGAAATAAAAATATTTACAAACACATACCTCAGATATTTTCCACGAACTGGTTGCGTTAATTACTTACTTTTATTGTTTACGATTATATTGTGTAAAATAAGCCAACAAAAGCATTTTCGAATTCGAATTAAAAACAATTTCTATTGAATGATGTCTTGTAACCAGCGATTGAGAAGACTTTTAAGGCCCTGAAGATGCTTAAGTCTGGGGGTGTAGCATAAGAACAAAACAATGTGTACGTATATTGAAGCAGATTTTAAAGGATTAAGAAAAAAACTTAATCCATTCAGAAAAATACTGTGGTGTTTCGCGTTTCTCAACAAAGCAAGTGTTTCATTTTTTAAATAACTGGCTGTGAATTAACCTTAAGGTGATAACCAAGATTGCATATTCAGACTTGCTTTCTAGAGCCCCTAAATTACCTGTTTCTAATCTTCTTCAAACAAATGTAATCCAACGAATTCTTTGATTCATTTGGGAGTATCTTTGAATTGATTTGGCGAAGAGAATATCATGCTTCGGCAACCAATTGGTTGCTTGAACTCTCCACTCTCTCTTTGAAATAGCTTATTTTCTTACGACTGCAAGTTCCATGGCCATTGAAGTCGTTTATCTTACCTCAAGAATTGAATACCTAACTCCGCAAGTTAGGTTGACTTGACGAAACATTTTAAAATATTACAATATTTGTACAAATGAGCATTTTATACTCCTGCAATTTAATTCTTTTACTAAATTCATTTCTTGTCTGAGCATAATATTGCAATGGATAATGACACTCAGGGACTAACAGTAGACAAAATCATGGTAGTGATTGGTATGTTGATGTCAAATTTGATGAGACAGCAATTCAATGCAATATCTTTTTGAGTATTTATTATTGGTTGTTGTTCATATGCAATGTCTGATGGTTTGCGTTTGCGACTATTAGTTTGTGATTACTCTTAAACAATATTTCGTTTCAGCCGTCTACGTCTACCTGTGGGTGGTTGTATACAGCTACTTCCAGTTGCTTATGGAGGAGGCTGGTCGTGGGAAGTATGGCAAGCCTTTGCGTCGATAAGCCCTCTCGTACATCATTTTATAATATTTTATACTGTTGTACCTTTAATAAATGTTTGTAAATATATGTATTAATATTTTTGTGGTTTTTAAAAGTTTGTATGACACATGTTTGTGAGTATGAAACATGGTTGAGATTATGAAAGGTCACGTGTGAATGTTGTAGTGATACAATAAATCTAAAACAAGAAGGGCGAAAAACGATGAAGAAATTGTGAAATCACTTTTTTCAGAGAAAACTATTAAATAGCAATTCTGTTTTGTCACAATAATTCTTGGACTGATTCACGTTACATTAAGTTATTTCTTCTGTCTTGTAATATTTTATTATAATGTACAAAAAAATGTAAAAGAAGAATGTTAACAAGTGATTGTACTGAAAAAATTGCAATATTTAATTTTATATATTTGTGTGTATTATTTCTAAAACCTTACAAAAAATAAACTGTTCATTTGGAAATAAATTAGAAAATAACATATTATGTAAGAAATAATATTTTAAATGTTTCAGGTAAAAAACATGTTTAACTTCTTTGTGAGTTGAAAAGGTTGGTTGGGCTTTCCCTTCATTGGAAACAAATCTCTGAAGGTGGTCACCACTAAGGAAAAAGATTGGGTTGGAAGAAAACCTTATTTATCATTCAAGATCGTTGATGAGTCTTTTTACTCGTTATGAACAGCGGATCTTTGTGTTCCCAATGAATATTAGGGGCAGTAGATCCCTGAAAGAATGCAAAACTAATGGCTTGCAGCAGCCAAAATCCTACTGAACAAGCCATACAGAATTATTTTTAAAAAACGTATCAATTACACTACTCAAGAACATTGAAAATAACACTCGTATAACACTGCAATTAATTAAATATTTTAACAAAAACACGATGTATCTCTGATGTCAGTTAATAGAGGTCGTTAATTACCTAAGGCGTTCCTAAAGCGACCTAAAATAAATCATTTAAAAAAATCTTAACGAATACTGCAATAACGTAGGGTAGCACAGTACGCCAGGAAAGTACCAGCGCATTGAGCCGAATTAGGGCAATCTATCACAAATACCATTAAGTTGGTGGCAACTTGATCACTGGGAAAGAAGTGATGGAGACAATACTTCCTACATCTATTATAATTGTAGTGAGTATGCAATTTATGTTGTTGTTTTTTTGTTTTGTGGCAAGTTCTGCAACTCATTACAAACATAATTTCTGTTGCTAGCACTCACCACCAAGGTGCCACTACAAACTTTCTTGTGGTGTCATCTTGTATCACCAGTTTTCACATACCAAGAATATCACAAAAGGTGCCAAAACGCAAAACGTAATTAAAAAATATTTAATAGCTCCTTCCTTGGAGTGACTTTTCTTCTAGTTACCACTCATGTTCTAATCCAACTTCTGTGAAGACACAAGTGGAATTAGGATGTCGAGGAAATAAAAAAATGAGAGCAGAAAATGATAGTTGCATAACCGAATGTATTACACATCACCGTGAGCAAATTGAGACATAGGTCCTATCCGAAACATTTCGAATGTTCTTCACTTTTCACATAACGAAAATTTTTTTGAAGGAACGAAAATGAAATGGTATATTTATAATATCTTAACACACACGCCAACATGTGTCTGTTGCGGAGTACAACATGAACTGTTACGTTTAATTAACGATACGTTTCATATATTGAAATATACTGTATTTTATTTTTGGAATTTCATGCGCTAGGTGCTTGGTTTATGTATTTGTGCTGAAATATTATTTACATTTCGCCTAGCTAATTTTCACCACCTTTTTTACGGCACATCCTGAAAATGTTTCATGGTGATGTGATTAAACATATTCATATAATGTGAGGTGATAGGAAACAAAGAGTGAAGGCAACATGTAGTGTTTAAAACGTATGACATTTCCCAATCCCGATTCTTCAGAAGAGCTCACACGGCCGCAGCTGCTAACTACGTCAAGAATACTGCATTAACGACGCCGTTCTCTGCCAGATAGCGCAGGCTCGCCGCTAGCGCCGCCAATGCCACGCCCGTGAAGTGCATCAAACAGCCGTGAGCCATTACGCCGTCGTCACGCTTGCGACGCCGCCTGCAACAAATAACGATGAAGGTTAGCAGACGTCCCTATTTCCCAAGGAGAGTCTGGATTTTACAACATTCCAGCCCCGAACAGAATCTTAAGAAGTAAAATTGTAAGCACTCATCTGTATCCTTCTTAGAGCTAAAAACGATCTTCCTACTGATGATGGTACCAAAAGTGTACATAACAGTGAAAGAAGGCGCGAAGGTTGTTGAAAGCAAGTAACCATCGGCAAAGAAATCAAGATTTCTACAGTTCGTATGGCTTTTCTCTTGAACTCTTCAGAACTATAAAATAGTGTATGTTCACTCTGTAATCCCACTTCAACAAAATTGCTTCAGGTACCTTCAAGCTACCTAGAGAACACTTGAGACAAATGTATTTAGTACGTTGCCTATTGTTAGTGCTAATATCATTTGATTTTAATTCCAAGAACTGCTAAACATGTCCATAATATTGATAACGAATTCAAACTGATTTTCATTGTGAAAAATATCATAATACTGTCACTTGGATTTTACGTTGGTTCACTTAAACATGCTGAAATCATAAGAAAAGTTAGAGAACAATACAATTGAATGTAATAGCCGCTTCTCAAATCAGTTATATTTCTTCGTGTTTTGATTATCTTTTTTTGTACAGTAACCAAAATCGTGAGCCTTTTCTTGGAGGATAATGATATTCCTGAGAATGTAAAGATTCTATCAAATGTTTTCCACAAAAAGCAAAGCAAACAAAATTGTCATATAATCATCAATGTAGTCAATATAACTTCTTCAGTTTCACCTTTATTATTCAATACAGTTGTGAGTAAATTCTGTAGATAATTTCTGTGCACGTGTTCAAATGTTGTTCTATTTACTTGGAGATAGTGACATCAGCCACCTCTGTTGAAAATTATCACGAAATTTGGCTCGTTTTGATAATCGCGAGAAAAAACAACAATACCACCCAAATTACTAAAGAAAAGTTTGAATTTTTGTATGTTAATACTAGGGCTGTGATTTATACGCAATAAAAACAGCGAAATATACACATATATATGTAAATATATTTCGTAATATATACAATTAAAAAGGAAAATATGCGAAATAGTGTAATGTTATGTGTAAGAGTAAAAATAAATAAAAAGTGTAATGTAGAATATATGTTTCCAGAAAAAAAGATACAGAAATCATATAAATTGCTATAAGCGTCAAACATTAGTACAAGGGCTAAATTTTCGAGAGCACTAATTTCTTAGGGAAATATTGGGAGATGCAGTTAATGTACATTTCACAAAAAATATAGGTATTGCAAGAAAAGTATTACTTCCTCTCAATTATAATAAAAGCTCATTGCTTCAGAGCAGGTCACATGATGTAACATATCACGTGACGAGAAAACTGTCAGAGCCGCTCACACGCTGACGGAATTAACTGTTGTGCTTCTTTTCACGGAAGAGGGATGAATATTCAACACAAATATGTAAATATGGCTTAACTACGCAATAATATGCAATAATGGTGATATATGCGGAAACATGCGAAATAAAAATAGGTTAAATTTATTTTAAATGCCTCAAAACATATGCAATTTGTTGGAACGGGTTTTAGTTAACAAAAACAATACGCAAATGCATATAAATTACTGTTCTGGTTATTTAACTACACAACAGAAAAGTGGGAAAATACTTAAGACAGTGCATGAATAGTAGTGAGGCTGAGTGCAGATGACAGTTATTGGCGTCGTGCTTATGTCGTAAGATGTTGTGCATTTATCTATTTTCGTACAGTAAGTTGAAGGAGAAAAAATAAAGTCGGAATGTAGAATATCTAGTTCAATAAGGTTTGGGAAATGGTCAGAATGTGCCTGTAAGTTAATCGAAGACTACTTATATTTTTAACAAATTGCTATCTGAAATTATTTCAAGATCTAATATTACTACAATACAAGATCTAATAATAATAGATTTCATTAAGAGAGAAAACAGTCACAATAATAATAATAATAATAATATTATTATTATTATTATTATTATTATTATTATTATTATTATTGTTGTTGTTGTTATTATTATTATAACAACAATAATGTGACATTTAGAAAATAAGTGAATGTACTTTGTAATAATTAAGAAACGAATGCATGTGTTTGCATGTCATTGATAAAATACTACATGGTTATTGAAGAAATTAAATTTGATTTACCTTTCATACTTCACTTTCTCCACTGCTTCTCGGAACTCCACCTCATTCCCAAAACATCCGACAGGTCTCTGCCAACTTAATATTTGTTTAATCCAAGCTGGCCTCATAAATTCAACGAAACCTTCTATTCCACACAGAGCAACTGTGTGAAAAAAAACTTTCAGTGAAGACATTTACTTGCCCTGAAACCGCCGCCTTTCACATCGAAATTTTCATGGATAATTGCTGACCTACACAATTTTGGAAACTGTCCGATTTATTTAGCAACATCCGAGATTTATTTTTTTAAATTATTTATGTACGCAGAAAATATGTGAATTCAAATCGTGTATCCATTTTGTTTATAATAACGAAGACAATTTTAAAATTTATCATCATCTATAAAATAGTTACAACAAATATTACAATAACTTCAAGGAATACCCTTCCCTTTAATCCCATTCATGTTCGGTAAGAAATCACTATATATTTGTTTAGCCATTTTACAAGATTGTTTTTAGATACTAGTTTCATAGATTTGTTTTATCCGCGTTAATGAATATCAACAAATTTCCATAGCTATTTGGTTCCTTTTGAGTTACCTTGTTCGCAAAATACGTCTCGAGCGTAAATAGGGAAGTCGAGACGTTCTATTAGCTCAGTGTCTATAAGGATGTCTGAACAGAGGTCGTCCACAATATCTTCCACTTCATCAGATGTTCCCAAGAAGGTGCAGCCACTCTGTGAATTTTAAAACATATTGAGTTACTTATTTATAGCAATCGACACTGTTTTGATCGGAATGTGGTAAAAAAAGAAAATACGAGTATGTTTTTGAAGTTCCATTAGCGGAAACATCAGTTTGATGAACTAAATGGTAACACTGAGCGATGTGTTTCCATTAAATGTTTTTAACAGCAGAAACCTAAATAATGGTGCAAAAATAGTTTTACTTTTTCGACCTTACAAAGATACTTCGTAAGAAGAGAATGTTATGTATGGTAAAACGGCGAACTTTAGGCAGATAAACTCTTATTACTAGGCCCTGGTAACGAAAAGGTGGATAAATCCTGTTGATCTAAATAGTATATAACTTCCTCTAGCACGTGGTGTGCTCATAATCTATCTTTTGTGGGTCCTTGGTAACGAAAAATCGTTTGACGGCAAAACGAATAGCTGGCTGTCATTGTGTGATCAACGCCAGCGTTCAGCCGACAAACCGTTCTGCCGATTTTCTCCAAAATTGATATTCCCCGACAATCGACGCTTTGTGACTTTCAAACGGATATAGTGATTTTTGAGAGGACTTTACATGGTTCTCAAAAACATTTTCAATATTTTCACAAAAATGGCGCCAATTTCTTTGATTAAACTTTGTTCTCGGATAGCGCACAGGGCGCTTACGAACAGGTCTCACATTCATTGAAATCCCTGATTTTTCGAAAATTGTAGAAGTGTAAATTTTGGGGGCTTCTTCTTACAATTACAATACTAAAGATAGAGATTTTTTCCTTAATGAAATATGTTCCTTCAAGACAGTTCTTGAAATAAAGTCATTCAATTTTTCCAAAATATGAGTTGCCTTCGTGAAATTGTGGGCAAAATGCAAGCAAATTACATTTTTTAAAACAATTATTTCTCAAAAAACTGTCCCATTTTTTTCTTTAAATTTTCTTCTCATATGCATTAAGGATCAGTAAAAGGTATGGTGCTAGTTGTACTTTCGACAAACCGTTCTGTTTTTCGAAAATTGCAAAAAGTTTTCATTTCAAAAACACAAAATTGAAGGTAGAGGTTTTTGTCTAATAGTCTAATTTTGTTTAATATTAATAAATGTCTAATTTTGGTATATTCAGATTAATGCTGTTAAATTTGCTCAATATTTTACCATCATGGGAGAGATTTTATAACATGTTTTTGCTGCCAATATGTCCAAGGGTGTACGGCTATCTATTAAAGACAAAGAAACTTTCATTTGTCCTCAATGTGAAAGGAATTAAACAATTGTTTTTATATTTCTACGTTTTTACGCAATACTGGTGTTTCCAAATTTGTATAATAAAGTCTCATTGTAGAAAATACTGAATTTGTTATGAGTATCCCAGCAATTCTTCCGTTACTTAAATCATGTCAGGACGTATTTTTGTACAATTAGACTATGAAAGAGTAATTCATATTATATATTAGTATAGCAAGCCCTAATTCCTTGGTCATGCTCCAAGAAACCACTTTCCCTGGCAATGGCCATAAAACCTGCATGTGAGCATTATCCCTTCACATTACAATGTTTTTGTTGAACAACAACAACATATTCCTGAATCACATTTTTTTGTGATATAGTTATTTCAACTTGAAGCAAAAGTGTTAAATTTCATCATGATGGCGTTAATTTGGTCAAGTGTTGAAATATATAACCAAGAAAATTTGAGGCGCTTAACGTGGCAGTATATACTTTATATACCTCATATTTTGTGTAGTCATAATGCATTTCCAAGATAATAACTCAAACTTTAATTATTATAACTCACAACTGTGCCTGGTAGCAAATTTTTAATTCCAGATTTGAATGTTTCACCCCCAAAATCTTTAGAAACATATACCGGCTTACATGAAAATTGACCCTTATAGAAGGGTGTTACCCTAGATTACAAATGGCGTAGTCTGTCAGACAAAGCAACTGGTGCCGAAAGCTACCCCCACCACTCTTCCCACCTCTCCCCGTTTTTTATCAATGAATCGACAGAATGCCCGGTGAGGTATGTGACATTTAATACCACTGATTACTCAAAAAATTACTACTTATTGAATAAACGACAAAAAGTACTTTCGACGTATTACTTCTCCAAAAACGTAAACTATAGGCGCTAATACAGCACGTACTCACTCGCCTTTAGTAATGATAATGCAATTATATTTACACCACTATTTCTCTCCGGATTAACACATGTCAGTGATCATTTTTGGTGAAACTAATTACAAATCGAATAACATTGGGGAATCGAACGCCGGAAACCCCAAAGTAGCCATGTAACTCTTGAGGAATGTTAAAAGAACCCTGAGGGATGCCCGGCAAAATTAAATCCCTTCGACAAAACTCCGCCCTAACGAGATCTTACATTCTGCCAAACAGATAGTTCGGATATAATTGGCTGAGACCGACATTTGGCGGAGAAAGTGAGTCACACCCCAGGGGTAACAGAGGGCTAGGCGCGCCCACTAGGCGCGCCTGCTCGAAAGGTCCTAGACCCGCGTCGAAGGTAGGCTTGGTCGGATAGGAAGGAAGTGGAGGAAGCCTGAATCGGAAAAGAGGCTGGCATCCAACTGCTTTGAATATCATTTTAGGGAAATCACAAAGGGTCGGGCGAGATCTATGTATTACTACTACCACTATCACTACCACTATCACCACACCACAACTACCCTAATCACTACACCTACTACTATTACCACCAATACTACTACCACTACCACCAATACTACTACCACTACCACCACCACCACTACTACTACTACTACTACTACTACTACTACTACTACTACTACTACTACTACTACTATTACTACTAGTACTATTACTACTACTACTATTACTACTACTACCACCTCCACTTCTATTACTACCACCACTACTACGACTTCCACCACCTCTACCAATACTATTACCACTATCACCACCACCAATACTACACTACCACCACTACTATTGCGTTGTGGGATCGCATCCCGGCCGCACCTGCCGCGCCATCTGCGCGTACAGCAGGCGGTGGGTGAGCGGGT